GTCTGTTCGCTACACTCGAGACTGTAAGCTACAGTCAACCAGAAATGGTGAACCACCCGGCAACGTACGCATCGGTTGCCGCCAAGCAAACACCGGAAAGGGCACCGGTGACGTTTGTGCCCGGACTAGAGAAAACTAAAGTGGCGCAGCACGGATGCCACACACCAATGCCTTTCACAAATTCAACAAAAACACCAGAAACTAAGCCTGGAAATCCAAAACCAGTAGCCACCAGGCGCAACCATGGTGCCCTAAACATTGTATGCACTAATGTCCCCGAATCCAAATCCAGTACAATTAAGGGTAAGTTGACGGACGATCGAAATCAGTGGGATTCCTTCTGTACGTCCATCGGTGTCCTTGCTAATCCCACGACATTAAGAAGAATCTCGCGCCACCCAAACGCGTTGCACTACGGCAAACCCCGGTTACTTCGGGTAACACTAAACTCAGCAGACGAGAATGAGGCCGTTCTGCTGTCTGCGAATCGTCTCCACAACGACTCAAGTGGAGTGCGCATACTACCCGAAATCCCGTGGAAAGAACGTTCAGGGGATTCCGCTAACAAAGTGAGGTACAGAATAAATGAAAATAAGAAAACAGTGATTGCTCACGGTGTTCCTGAGCGTACTGACTCCTCTTCCGACGATGCCCAGACACACGACCGCGAGCAATGGCACTACATCCTGGAGGTTCTTTCTCTCGAAAATGTGGTGGTCACCTCGATGACAAGGATCTCCATATCACCAAACTATAAAGGGTGCGGTCCCAGGCTCTTAAAACTTGTGTTACAGTCAGAACTAATGGCACAAACCCTACTAGCGAACTGGATTAAATTCCGTTGCAGATTGCCAACAGAAATTCGTCTGAAGGCAGCAGGAACACCAACACCTTTTAATGACAATTCAGTAGAGGCACAACACTTAGTGAAAACACCAACTGCAGGACCCGACTCGGGGACGGTTTCAAGAGTAGCCATAATATCCGGAGGGGCGCAGCAAAGCACGAGCAAACAACGGGATTCGGAGCATCTGATACCTGCCTATATATCAAGTACTTCTCGAGAGTATGCAACCCATCCAAAAAACGATTAGCCGCCGACCCTTTAATGGTCGGAGTAAACTCATTTGCTTCATCCATCCAATCTAACGCACTTTTGGTCTCCGAGAATCTCTCATGCATGTACACAAATGCCCAAGGTCTACTCAGCAAATTAGCTGAATTAAGACTTCGACATGCGTCTGCAGCATGGGACCTTATCGCTGTCACCGAAACGTGGCTGCGCTGCGAGATAACCGATGCTGAAATTGCACTAACGGGCATGTCCGTTATCCGGAAGGATCGAACCAGCAGAGGTGGTGAGGTAGCCCTTTATTTTCGTAACAACATGCAATGCGAACGCATAAACGATTCGGAAACTGACGTACCTGACGCAATTTGGTGTAATTTCCGACTGAGAGGGGACGATCTTGGCCTATTGAATGTTGTTCACCGCCCACCCTCGTCTACTCCTGAGATGGACTGCAATTTGATGGCTGCATTGAAGCACGTGATAAACAGGAAGTACAGTCACATTCTAGTCACCGGTGACCTCAACTTACATGCCCTCGAATCCCAGGCCACACCAGGAGAGCAATTCCAAGCGGATTTGCAAGATCTGGTTTCAGACTATCCTCTTTATGGCCACATCACTATGCCCACCAGATTCAGGGGTACTGACAGGCCATCCATTTTGGACCGAATATTCACCAATGAAGAATTAATGGTCGAGAGAGTGATAACCGATACCCCTTTGGGCCGCAGTGATCATGCGACGCTATTGTTTCATTACATGTGCTACGCGGATTATCCTAAAGAGCATGCCGAGGAATATCGTGTCATAACCAACTATGAAGACCTGTCCGACCTAATTGATGCAACCAGCTGGTCGTTCTTAGCTGAATTAACGCCTCAGGTGGTCTGCGGTGAATTCGTCAACATATTCACCAAGCTCGTGGCACGGACATCTGAAACCAAATGCTACCGGACCAAAAGGATGAAGTCTTTCGTAAGGAGCAGGACACGTAAGTGCATGTCATTAAGGGACTCGGTATGGCACACCTATATAGCCTCCCCGAACGATCATACCTGGGATGTCTACACACTACACAGAAACCACTGTGTTAAACTCGTTCGAGAGGATAAACTTAAGAACCAACAAAGTCTAGCGGAAAAGTTTAGCTCCAATCCAAAACTGCTATACAGACACGTAAACAATTTGCACCGTGTTAAGCGCGGTATTCCTGCTCTGCACACAGCATGCGGCTTAGCCCAAACCGCACAAGAGGCAGCCAATCTTCTTGGACAACAATTTGGCCGTAGCTTCCAAAGCGAGCAATCACCGTACATCCTGCCTAAGCAGATAACGCCGCCATCAGGGCTAAACCACATATGGTTTACCTCCGCAGCTGTACTGAAGAGGCTGACGTCTCTGCGCGAGTTCAGCTCCCCGGGTGCGGACGGCATTCGACCGAAGGCGTTGAAAGTTGCTGCCACGAGTTTGGAAGGACCATTAGCAATTTTCTTTCAACGATGTATGAACGAGATGCACGTCCCCACGATGTGGAAGCACGGAATCATCACGCCAATCTACATGAGTGGCAGCCGTGCTGATTCAGCAAATTATCGCCCGATAACACTCCTTCCTGTGATCTCCAAGGTTATGGAGTCCATTGTAGCTGAGGCTTTAATGGGGTACCTGGAGAACAACCAAATTCTCGTTCCGGAACAGCATGGATTTCGCAGAAATCGCTCCTGTACAATTAATCTCTTGATTGCTCGTGCAAACTGGACGGAATCTGTGGACGCTGGTGTTGGAATCGACGCGGCCTACTTGGATTTCTCAAAGGCATTCGACCGCATAGACCATCGCATTCTCCTCCACAAACTCCAGAAATATGGAATCGGCGATCCTGTTCTGCGATGGATAGGAGACTTTCTCCTACAACGTCACCTGAATGTTAGGGTTAGGAGCAACCTATCAGAATCCATCGAAGTTCAGTGCGGCGTACCTCAAGGCTCGGTACTTGGACCCCGCCTGTTCCTGGTCTTCATAAATGATCTCGCGAGTGTGCTGTCTTCTAACTGCTTGCTATTTGCTGATGACCTAAAGGTATGGCGCACTATAACTGAAGTGGAGGATCACACAGTGTTACAAGAGGACCTGGACAAAGCGTACACATGGTTCAACGAGAACATGCTGCATTTCAACGTCACCAAGTGCAAGGTTCTCAGTATACGGCACAACAGTATGCACAAGTACCGCCTAGGACCACACATTCCACAGCGAGCTTCTCACGAGTGCGATCTCGGCGTGATAGTTCAAGATGACCTCGGTTGTTCGAGGCAGACTGAAAAGGCAGCTAAGAAAGCAAACCAGTACCTCGGCCTTCTTCGCAGAGCGTTCGGGAAGTTTGACCCTTCGATCTTTCCAAAAATGCTTAGCGCGTACGTGAGGCCGCACGCGGAATACGCTACTCAACTGTGACAACCCTGGCTGAAGCACCATCTCACCGCGCTCGATACTGCACAGCGTAGGGCAACGAAGAGCGTCAGAGGTTTGACCAGCATCCCCTACCCACTCAGGCTGAAGACCCTTAAAATCTAAAGTGGACGTTATCAGCAGCTAAGGGGCGATCTCATAATGGTATACCTAATCCTGAGAGACCCCAACCACCCATGCCATTCCCTTCTAATACTCAGTCAAAACACCTCGCTAAGAGATCACCAGTTTAAGTTAGTCACGCAGTACAGCCGCCTGGAATGTCGGCGAAACTATTTTTCCCTTCGAGTGGCACAGCCTTGGAACGCCCTCCCCGAACATGTAATTAATGCGCCCACCCTATACCTATTCAAAAAACGCCTTGACGATACCCTGTCACATTTACACTACGTGCTATAGCTCATGACCACCAGATGCTGGCACTAATGCACAACAGACAGGGGATAGTGCCATAACCCTACTCGAGAGCGAGTCACTTCAAACGCTTTGCATGAAATTTGATAAACGCTACCACTATAGACACTGGATTTCTGTATCCTGTCGACCGACGGTAATCGCACACAAGTAAGCGTTGTCCTTGCTATCGTTTTCTTAATTTTTCTCGCCCCTGATGTGAACAATAATCACTCTACTGTTGCTTTGTGTGCGTACATTCTCGTTTCGAACCCCCTTTATACGAAAATGCAGTTACATCTGTAAGCGCCCGAACTGACAACATTATCCCTTCGCTATATTTTTTGTCACGCTATCCACCCTACGAGACATGTCAAGCACCTGCTTTTTTACCCGTCATAAATCATTGTTCATATGAGTGAATAGCATCGTAGCAGAGAGAGCGTGAATGGTTGCAGTCCATGGTTCGTCAGAGGAGAATGGAATGAAAATCTGGCTTTACAGTAACGACTGCCACTCCATTTTTAATCTCGACTTGGGCAGACATGAGACTGGGTTTACCCGACCGATCTGACAAGAGTAGATCGCAAGGTGCACAGAGATACCAAAAGCTATAGCTTAATGGGGCAAAATGGCACGAAAATCGTAGCAACATAACCTCACCGAGACGATAATGGCTCAAAAGTCCCCAGTCTCGACAAATTATGGAACTCGTAGGGAATACTGACAGGCCCATGCTCATGGGCACAGAGAATATGAGCGATGCTGCAAACAGCAATGCAGCTCCAGAAGAGGTCGAAATGCCAGGACACGCCAGTATGTACTGACACACACGCAACTCTACAAAGGCATCTATCCTTAGACAGAAGGTAACAGCCTAAATTATTTTTCATAATCTAGATGCACAAATAATACCATAAAGTGCTCAGACTGAAGGAACTGTGGCAACTATGGTGATTTCCTTTGATACGTGGAAAACATCACGACGATTAGAAAAACAATGTTTAAATAATGTTTTTGAACAAATGTCATGCTATCAGTAATCCAATAAATATTTTGCGTGCAGGTTACATCACCCCAGGGGACACCAAAAAGGTGCCTCAGTCGACATGTCTACGCTGGGTCCAGAAATTACCACCCACCAGCTGGACTGTAATGCGAGAATAAAAGTGACAAAAAGCAAAGAAGTTGAGAAGGGGCTATGTATCAGAGGCCAATCACACTGGTCTAACGTCGAGAGTTGTACGGAAACAAACAGACAGCAATCGCTATTATGTCAGCAAAATCAATCCGACGGTTATAGATCGCTGGAGGGTGTATCGGCGGATGTACGCTGTTCCAGAATCTCGAAGTCTTTATACAACCCAGGTGTTGAAAGAAGCCATACAGATGGAAGCGATTTTGATCCGACATTGCATCACCGGTCAACCTCTAGAAACAATTCCGTGCCTGGAAGAAATGGGCAATATCGCAATGTTGCCGACAGCATGCCAAGGTCAGTGAACAGGAGAGCGGAAGAAATCGGAATTCGTAAGTTCAAGGTTCGAAATCAAAGTAAGTACGTGTCCGTCGGTTCATGAAAAGTAGAACCTTATGACAGTATGCGAGTTAACTAACAACAGTACTTAGAGAGCATGGAACCAAGATGGTTAGAGTTTGCATGAATATGCAGATTGCGCAAAATAGCTCGTTTAGGTAACTTTGTGAAATGAGTGGTACTCAGACAAATTGCTCATACAAATACAGAATGATATACCGAATCGTCTAGAAAGGTTGAAAGTTCTAGCTAACAGTGGATAATATTTGAGAAAAGGAGGAGAAAAGTAAATCAAAACACCCAATATGTGATCAAGCCGATAATATTTTATTGTTTGTTTCAGCATATCGGCGGTTATTAACGAATACCAGATCCATGTCCACGCCATCAAGCCCGACAAGATTTGTCCAATATTCAAAAGTTCGAGATGACTACCGACAGAAATTAATCCGTGAGCGAACAGAAACCATGCCTAAGTCACCGGGATGCAACATTGCAAAATTATCGGCATTGAAACATACAGTGGACATGCCCACTAAAAGCGACTCAACATCCGAGGAAAGGAAACCGTCCAGCTATCTCCAGAGGGTAAGTTGTATAACAAAAGGCACTTGGTGTAGTGAGCTGCGAAATCATCATCGTCATCATCATCAGCGGCGGCAGCAGCAGCAGCAGAACATCAGCCGTTTAAAGTGAGGATCAGGGGAATAATAGACGAAACGGAAAGAAGTAGCGCAAAACCTAAATGACCTAGGCAAACATTTAACGTCAATGCGCTACAACTGGTCGGCAATATATCGCCACTACGAGTTGGCTATCGTGCGAACTAGCTTCCTTGCGGCTTTCACTTCCTAGCATCATGGTTGGCAGCATCCCGTTCCGGAGTCACCTGTCACTGTGGCCTCCATAGGACACCTCCGGGCTTGTGTGCGTCTACAATGCGACCATGAGTAGGTTGCGCTGCACCACCCACATACCCCATATCCAGGGTACACCCGAAGACCAGGAGGCATGTGAATGGGAGCTACGTTTCATCAATGGAGCTGGTCCACACTACTTCAACATGCACAGCAGTGGCATTCCTGTATATCAATGTAGGGAATCATACGTACCAGACGTACACAAGGCGGTGGCTGGGCCTTAGTCCGCTCCAACTGAGTGCATGGAACCACTGTATGAGCCTACACAAGCCACGAGAACCATGCACCACGTCCCCTCAGCAACGATTCAGTTTCCTGAAGTCAGCAATCGATGTGAAGGGGGTGTTAGACAGGTAGGCACCTTGTCAACATCCGCATCAAGGGTAGCCAAAGCAGTGAGATCAAAGAACCAACATGGCATTTGAGGCAAAATAAACGCACAAAATGACACAGAATATGCAACCGAATAATCAATTTGGACAAACTAAATAAAGTGGAATGACTTCTATCTAGAGTAAACAGACCTAGTTTAAGTGTAATCTGGCTTAGCCCAACTGCAATGAAGAAGCATCATGAACGCAACATCAACCACAGTATCATAATAAGGTAGTAAGCAACAAATAACTCAGCATCAGACACTATTTAAACAAGCAGTCCGACTCCGAGACGAGAGCATACGCGTCACTGGTGCTGAATGCGAGCCATGTCCCATAAAGTCTCAAGCGGGTCACGTGGACTCTAGTCTGGAAGGTGAGACGGACTGAGGGCACCTGGTATGGTCGTCAGTGACTTCATTTCAAGCAGCCAAGTTAACTTCGGCTTACCTAAAGCTTTCCGCTATTCTGCAGTCGGTAGACGAAACCAGCTTCTTCTGCGTAAGCCGTGACTGGGTATACGTAGTACATGCCTAAGCCGTGACCTATTCAGTATGATTTGTTATTCCAAGGAACTATCAAGTTATCGTCACTTATTACTCGCCTACACACATCAACGTTGCGAGTGCGCTGGTGCTATCTGACGCCAGCAACGCTCCGCAAGCAAAAACGGAGCGTCAAATTGTCACTTCCATAAATTAAGGCCTTGTAGGCAAGATATTTCAAACCGAGGGTAAGCTAAATAAATAAATGGTATATTCCTTGGCGGTGCGAGGTGCAGTCCAACTGTGTGGTCACGGAAGTTGCAGGTTGAAGAAAGCAGTCGCAGCATTCCCCCGTCGTTGCTGATACAGCTGTCAAGATAAATGAATTGAGAAAGCGCCTCAAGTTCCTTTTTACCAGGCAGAATTAGGTGGTTGATTGTCCCACAATAACCCTGCACTTTAAAGGTGCAAAGAGCATACCGAATGGTAGAACCATCTAGTGAGGTCATTCAGAGTTGACTGATCCCCCCCCCAACATCGTTGAACAACACGACACATAGTCAAGATCAAATGATTTTCCTCCAGGCTAGCATCGTGAGATTCCGAAAGGGCGGATAAAAATCCGGCAACCAAGGAGAACGTTAACTGTTGTTGGAAAGACATTCGATAAGTCACCGCAGACCCTGACGCCGCCTGTGGTATTCGAGTACAGGGCGCATAACCTGTTTACACATTTCCGCCTTTCAGCACATGCATATTGAACAAAATGAATCGATCGAGTCGAACCTACTGCTAAATCGATGAACACAGCTCTTGTTTGAACGCGTGTTCTAGTAATTGGCGCAAACTGAATATACGATTCATACAGCCCGCCCTGGGCAGAAACCTGCCTGCTCTTCCCTAATCCTGGATTCAGGTTCCAAAGCCAGGTAACGAACGACGAGGCTAGTAATTTTGTCACCGACGGCGGTAGGCTGATACCCGTGGTTAGCATAATGGGTGCGACTGCCCTTGTTGTATACTGCCACTATAACCAATTCACTCCAGTTAGCTGAGGTGGTCTCTTCTTTCCAGACATGTCTGAACAGGGAGGTCAGTGCTATGTAGTGGACCTCCACTACCATCCTTAAGTAATGCGGGTGCGAGGGAATCCGGGCCAACAATACGAAAACGATTAGGGGCTTCGGTCGCGTTTCGGACATTAGCCTCCCATGGGGTCTTTAAGGAAACCGGATTGCACCACCCGGGCAGGAATAGGCCCAGCAGCGATGGGCCAACTAAACTGTACAATAAAGTGATCAGCTCAAGGAGCCAGAAGGTGCACCATATTATAAGTCAGAGAACCCTCGCTGTCTCCGACTGTCTCTCTGGCGCATAGGTTCTTCGGACCAGGGATGCGGATCAGTTAGATGAGCGTGCGGTACTTATCTACTGCGTCCGCTTCCTCCATGTCTTGAAATCACTGAGTGCACTATGCCTCTTTGTTAACAGGTAGACTATATTTCATTTAGTGCCTAATAGTTCATTCGGTTACATTGTTTTCGTCTGTGTCCCGAGAGACCCATCGGCTTTAGGGATATTCAGTGACTGGTACGGTTGCGAGGCCATCAGATTCCCATATCGTATAAAGCGGCCGAGATATTGTTCCCCTAAAGCTCCGTGTCCTTATGTCGAGGTGAAATTCCAGTATGCTGGGCCTTTTGATAGGCTTACTTCACAGTACTGGGATAATTTTTAGTTGCAAACCGAGGGAATCATTTGGTACGCCTTCCAGCAAAGTTCATGGAAAAACGACAAGCGTACCAAGCAGAGTCGGCGCAAGTAATCCAGAAAGAGTGACAGTCTATGGTCGAACCGTGCTACATGTAACTTACGGTAATATGATTTGTTTGGGTCCATGGTTGGAGAGCTTCAGAGGGACGTCAATTGGCATTTCAGTGTCCAATGTGCTAAAAGCGGCGCTGCTGAGAAACACCCGGTACTTCGTGCAGTTGCAGCGGATGCTGGTCGTTGTTCGTTTGTTCATAAGTTGGCCCATATCTATCCGAGCTGCTGAAGATCTCAGAAGACCTACTTGTGCATTCATATCCTCCACAACAATAACGATATCTGAACTGAACGTTCGTCATAGAAAGCATCCTTGACAGTATCAGAACTGTAGTAGGTGGGCGCATATGCGGCAACCGCAAACAAACAGCGTCTAGTATCACCTCGTGTATCAACCTTAGTTCATGTTGTCAAACGAGCTGTACACAAACGTTTACTCACGGGAGTTCAATCAACTAGCGATGACACAGCCTTAATGCTGAGAACGATCCCCACTCTGGCTTGACCAGTGTTTGCTGCATCAGCGTCTCCGAATGCGTGTAACCAATAGCGAGAGGACAAGCTAGGTGCAGTTAAATCAATAACTAGGTGGGGGTGATTGATTCTAGTTTCGAACATGCAACACATATCGACTCCCAGGGCATGCAACGTGCATGTGAGTGCAGCTTGGTGACCTATTTGTCTTAGAGTGCGAAGGTTGAACTCCCCTAGGGAAAAGAGCTTTTACCGATAGGTGTTTAGTGGATATGCAGAAACAGTTGCAACTGGTAGGACTACAGGAGTATTGCGGCTGCTGTCGCTTAAAATGGGAGCTATAGAAGGAAGTTTATTAACTAGGGTCGCGAGAGGAAGAAAAAAACAGTTGGAAATGAACGAAAGGAGACACCAGTATTGGCATATTTTTATTTATCCGCCCTGGTGTAAGCAGCAGATACGACGACTCTTTTAGAGTTGCGCAACGGGCGATGCAGGGTGTGGATGAATGTTGAGGAAGAGTCATGTTTGTGTGAAAGGCAATAGAGCAGAAACACAAATAGCTAAGTCAGTGATCTAGCTAACACGGATACACATTTGGCTAATCGTCATTGTTTCGAATGTGTCTAACACAGCCGAGTGGGTGTGGATGCGAGTTGTCAGAGAAACACGATTGTTCAAGTTTGGTAGTTCGGTTGCAGGAGTATCACTATTGCAATATTACAATGAGAACACTTAAAGTTATCGTAAACAACCAACCTGCTGAACACAAATGGCGCCTGATTGTATGAGCAAGCAACATGAGCTACAAGAGGCGAGCTGAGCTATTCAGCCAAATGCCTTTCGTAGATGATCCACATTCGACTACAAGCGATGCACCATGACCAACCTATATCCAGGCAATATGCAGCAGTCCCCATCAAGTTAATCGAACACAATGAATAAAATAGATCTTTTGATTTCTTTATATCAAGCAGACGCCACTGCATTGCAGGATCTCATTTGTATCAACTCTCCTTACAGGTCATTCAAGAAGTAACCAAGCGATTGCAGTCCAGTCCACATCTGCCGATAGTTGTTATGCCTTGGTCAGCTAGAACGACCGACAATTGCGCTCCGACGGGTAGGACAAGGGAGGTCATACCAGTTGCCTTTCAGCTTCCACAGCCGAATGTGACTTTCGTTTGCTTAAACTCAATGGAAGATCAATTCCCAAGAGTCTTCACGGCACCGAAAAAAGGAGCGCTGATAGTCCTAACCTTTGATATGGAGGAGATCACAACAAAAGACGCAGCCATTCAACCAAGATGCATGCGATCGGTAACCATCACGGGGCCGAAGCCTGGCTACGTGCTATTAATCACTTCGGATAACGAGTACACTTACATTCCCATTGGACAGGCTACATAATGTTGTCCCGACGACAAGGACAGAGGCCCATACAAAGGACTACAAGCAAATTGCACAAGCACAGTGGACAAGTGTGAATGTTCCATTAAATAGGACGTAAACCAGAATTCTGGGGATGATAAAACGTCCAGAATCTGTAAACCAACCATTTGATATCTGCGGATCATACAACGACAGCAACTAATCACTACCTGACACAAGGTTTTGAATTATTCCTTCAGGTTTTCAAACATGAAAAATTTTCATTGTAGATAAAGAGTAAATATTGGGACAATATGGGACGATGTGTAAACACATCGGACAGAGAGAGATCAACAGTGAAAAGCAGCGTGAACAGATTAAAACAAAGTGCGACTCTAACTATTCCTCCGCGTAGTATGCTGCATCAGATAGACAGACAAAACAGGTTTGAGCACCAAATACTAGACAGACTCATAAAGTTCAACGGAGAACGGGGCATATAAATCCGATAGGTCCAGTTGCAATGATTGTAAAAAAACAAGAGCAGTGAATCGAAAAGAGGTTTTGCCTAGGTAACACTGGCGAACGACAGAAAGAACAGTGAAACAGTTGTCGAATAACTATTAGTCTGCCTTGGACACTTCCCCTGAGTTGATTGAAATGTGCAATCCAATCTTAGACGGTGATTCACTCTAACTAGGACCTTGATCACTTTACAGCGCGTCGGCCGGGCACTATATATCAGACTCACAGCTAAACGGCCGACAAAAATAGGAAAATGAGCTAGAATAGGTTTATTGAAAGGTCGCTAAGACTAGGCAAAGTTAAAAATGAGGCACCAGAACAGAGCTAACGGGAAGATGTAAGCGGGCGCTGAGTGAAAGATGGCTGGTCATGCCCGTGCGAAAGCTGTGGATGCTTGTGTTTTGCGTGTGACTCGAACAAAAGGAATCGACATCCAAACAAGCAAACCATCCAATTCCATAATACATAAGAAAACTATTTTAGAATAATTTACAGTCAAACGGGGAAATCCCTAGGTCATTGCAACTCCAGTCAGTGGCCGGAGCAGATAGGTGCTAGGTGTTTCACGCCTCTAAATCTGCACTTCACGACAGGTTTCACATCTGTCTGCATTCGCCGAGTAGAGGTAGTCGAAGTTGGAATCGAACTCGAGACGTAGTGGCAGGCGGCTGACGTTTCGAAGCGGATACCACCGAGATGCGTAGATAAGGATTAGAAGCTCACGATCTGATTCGGGATATCGGAAGTGCAAGTAGATTGAGATATTAAATCTTAACTTTGACAGCGGTTTACCCTGAAATGAACTGCGGTCAGTTCAGTCCCCGGAGCCGCAGATGAAATTCTTACTATGTTTGAGAGCAACTGCGTCCAATGTCTGAGGGGTATATTGCGCGAGAAAGCCTAGATGCAAAGTGAATTCAGAATATACAGATGACCATCTGCAGCTTTGCTCTGAGCGCAATCCACAGACAATGCGGATCCTAGTCCCTGAGGTCGTTCACAATCTCAAACAAGCCAGCTCATTGCGAAGCACATTTTAGGATAAATCCAATAAGACACAATAATTGGTTTCCAACATTGTATTAGACAAAAGTAGCTGCCAATGCCAGGCAACAATTTATTCACAATGATAAATGTTAACGAAATTTGCCGAATAAAATATTTTTTGCAAGTAACTGATCACTTATGTCTAAATGAGCATACTATACGAGTCCTAATTCGGTTGAGTAATGACAATTCGAACGTCTAAATGTGATGGATCCAGATGTCATAAAATCGCCATTATGGTAACAAAAAGAGAAAGAAGAGATATGAAAATGAAGACTGGAAAACGAAAAATGCGGAAAGTTCAAAAAGGATAGCAGAATAAAATCAGGATTACAGGATTAAGAGTTAGCAAGAAGAAGCAACAGACCATCTATGTCAGGGGCGTCCAAGCTTTTCGCAGGGAGGGCCACATTTTGTCAGGTTAAAATATGTCGAGCCATATTCAGTCTGACATTAAGATAATAAAAAATTATACACGTCATAAATATTTTATTGTGTTTTTAATGTGAAGGGTGAAACTGAGAAATTGAGATTTTTATTTTTGTGTTAGTTAAGACCATGGACTCAGATGTGTTGTGTTTCCTTTTACGATTTCTGTACCTTCTTCTTATCCCCATGGTTTCTGATGACTCTATGTCTATTCGTAGACGGTTGCAAATCTATTTATACTTTAGTAGAAGCACTAGATTGACTTTTCCTAGTTAGTTAAAAACAAACAGCACATCATTGATTTTTGCCAGCATCTGACCCCATTGAATTTTGTACTCATAACATTCGTAACTTTTTCGTAATCTATACGAACAAGTCCAAGCTTGAATTTATTATTTTGTGATGAGGTCGCGGGACAGTTGAAATGTTAACGCGGACCGCAGTTGACCCGCGGGCCGGACTTTGGACATCCCTGATTTATGTGCATGAGGAACAGCGACTGCGCGACTGATCTATGATGAATCCAGTCTCTAAGCACTGATTCCTCCAACACAGCAGTCTCCATGCGAGAAGACGAAACACAACATTGACTAAGCCCTTCGGTTGATTTAATCGTGATTATGCGCAGTGTAAGCGGGGAGGGGGTACCACGATTCATCAAATCAGGTTCGCCAGATGCAAATAATGTACACGGAAGCAGTTCGTTGATGTGTATACGAAGAACGCGAACTAACCAATATAGAGGTGGGGAACTCAGCAGATGTTTAATGCTACGCCAGGGAGTGGGTAGTGGTGTACCACTTATCAGTTCAAGTATTCCAACAGGATCATCATCATTATTACTCGCTAGCTGAAGGTGAGAAGCACACCACAGAAAATGTGCCGAATTACAGAAAGATAAGATATATGAAACCAGCAAAATACTAAATACTACAGCACACAAAACTAAAAAGGGAAATAAAAGGTAAAGCATTATATTATGATTAGAGTGTGAGATCGTGGTTGCGGAGAGAGACGGAAGAGAGGGGTGGACAAAGAAACTTACAACGTGATCACCATTGAGGTCGGCTCTTCGCCAGGTCAACAAGTGTATCCAACCAAAAGTGTTACATTCGCCTCTGAGACCAAAGCGCGACAGTCAGGAGACCCCAACAGATAACTACTTTGAAGTGAGGACCTTCATTTCATGCGATCAAGTCATTGCTTGGTCTCCTCTTATCTTCTGTCCATATCCACGGCGCGCAAACAACGCACGTCGCGGCAGTCAATGTGCTGCCATGCGCAACATGAGATCCATCCAGCAGAGCCTGGTGCCTGATATAACGGTGCTGAGCGGTTCACTTGCTCTTCTTGCACCAAAAAGCGACGCCGAGCACGCTTGTTGCTCACACGGTGTTCCCCACAGAAATGAGCCGAACTGTGAAGATAGTAGTTGTCGAACATAACAAGCCACTCTATGTCAGTAGGTCTGACGGACCAGGAGGATTGAACGGACAGCTGTATTGCAAACATCACCCTCCAAAGAGAGAGTGGTGTCGCAGCAACGCCAAAGTTGACTGAGATTGGCAAAAGCGCCCTGAGCTTTTACTATACGGTTGGTGATCTCATCTCCAATCCCAATAGTGCTAATACCGCTGCCAAGATACTTGAATTTCTCAACAACCTCTAACTGATCACTAATAAGGGTCAGTGTGAAGGTGGGTCTCTCCCAATCTTGGAGAAGGACTTTCCATTTCGAGGATGCAAAGCATAGTCCGAAACGATTGATAGCCAGTGCCTCTTGGTACATTTGGGAGCTGTCACAGATTAAGGAAATATCGTCGGCATACTCCAAGCCAAAAAGTCGCTCACCTGGAAGTGGCTCCACACCTTGTATGTCGTGCTCAGAGAAAGAAATTTTCAAGGCTTCGTCAATCGTGAAGTTAAAAAGTAAAGGTGACAGAAAACAACTTTGTCTCACACCGCTGCAAACATTGAAGTGTAGCGACAGTTTGCCATAAACCCACAATCTACCCGAACTATGCGGGTGCAGAGCTCTGATAGTGTTCATGTATTTCTCAAACACACGTTTCCTGAGTAGACAATCCCAAAGGGCAAATCGATCTACCGAATCGAAAGCACATTTGATGTCGAAGAACACGACAACGGTGGCTCACCACTAAATATGGCGGTGTTCCGACAACGGACGTAATGTAAGAATGCATAATAATAATGAGTTACCTGCACGCCGTAACGGCGCTTCGCTGCCGTGCGACCAGCACCAGTCGCACGCGGGCTGAGTATATCGCGAAGACGCCCACTCCTACGCGGATTCGAACCCGCGCCGCAAGCTTACGAGACAAGCTCCTTACGTCTAGGTCGAAAGTGGTCAATACAGCCTCGATTTTGACGAAACCTAGCTTACCCCTCGTGTATCTGACTTTCACGGGTGCCAGTCAGTCTATGCAAAACGACAGAGGCAAGTAACCTAGAGGTAAATGAGATCATACTGATCCATGAGTGCAACATTCCTATGTGAACCTCCCTTGAAAGTTGGAACAGAGCGGCTCTAGTTTGCTGGGACAGTCGCCTAGTTCCATAGCTTCTCCCCTTCAGGTAATGTGCGTGCGGGTGGATCGAAGGGGACGGTCCAGGGATAGGTGATGAATGGCCGATAGAGAAAATGGTAACTCTGGCCGACTAAACTGCCTTTCAAAGTGTTCGGCCTAACGCTACAAGTGCTTTGAGAAGCTGTGAATCGGCTATCCACTCTCGTTGCGTAACGTGGCGCTAAGACTAGGTTCCATTTCCCGTATCGGACGGAATAACTACCGATGGTTACCAAGGGCAGCGGCTGTTTCCATCGCAAATGCACGACGAGACCATCAGACTTTGCGGTCTCTCTTCAGGCCAGCACACAGCCTTGTTGCGGAGTCATTATGAATCTTATTGAATTAGCTTCCAGCTGGAACATCTCGGCGAGCATTCAGAAGTTCCATAAACTGTGTACAGACCCAGTGTCTAGGTTGACAATCTGATTTACCACATGAAAACATGCCTGCTGCTAATAAGGTCTGATGAAGATGCGACCAATGATTTTTAACCAAAACAACACGTAATCAGGACAACCGACTTCGCCAGTTGGAGAATATCTTTGCGCTCATAACGCCGTTGCGGACGTCCGCCGAAACATATCCGCAGATCGGTACATACAAGTACGTGTTCGGAGTCCACGCTCGTGTTCCAAATCGAGCGAC